CCTACCAAGGCGAGCCTTGGAGACAAGATTTCCGCCGTGGCCGACGAACGACACGCGCTGGATGGTCGAGTCGCGCGGCGCGCGACCTTGGTATCGAATCTCCAGGTGTGATTTCGCGAGCGGGCCTCGGTTGGCGTCATCCAAGATTTGCGGTCATCGGGCAAAATCCACTTTGGGCTTGTTTTGCAGCAACTATCTCTCCGGGGATGTTCGACGTAGTATTTGCCCGCAGCATATGAGGCAGATGAACAGGAGTCAAGATGCGGGATCGCCGTGGCGGAAGTCTCGAAGGAGGTAGGGAAGCAGGTAGGCAGGCAGCTTTCTCCGCAATGAATCTCCGCCGACGGCCTGGAAGTTGACGAGAAGCGCAAATACGGTATCCGTCATTCTGGGCAACGGTAAAAATTTTTCGAGCTCTTCGAGATCAGGGGACTCGGAAAGAGGCTGCTGACGGCTGTTAACAGAGTGCCTGTTAAGTGTTCGCGGTCCGAGGAGGTTGCCCAGTAAAGACGTGCGGTTGAGCCAAGACCCAAGACGCTGGATTGACGCCGGGTGTTGGTGCCAGTGTCTGATATGGCGATGCAGGAGGTGTTTGCGCAGTCTGGATTCTAGACCTTTTTGGCCATTCGGAGGGGCTTGAAGCAAGCAAGTGGCTCATTTGACAAGGCTCTTTCAGGCGCGTGTACTTTGGCGGTGTTGAGTGCGACATTGATGGGACTCTTAATTGGAAGACGTCGTCGTTGATTCCGGATATCAGTGGCCGAAAGAGCGCTGTGTGACGACGCGGTTGCAGCGAGAGCCTCGCCTAACACGAGGGATGAGTAAGATGGTGGCGGCATTTCTAACAATCATTGGAAAATTTGATCAAACGAGGACGTCGTGTTGTTGAAAAGTAAGGTAGCTGCCTCTAGCTACAAAATGATGGGTGAGATTTCTGTCATTTCGTGTTGATTACTGCGGCATAAGGATTGTCGTCACGTACCTACCTACCTCAAAATTCGAACACATGGTTCTCCGTACCTATGGAAGTAAGAACGGTCGTCGTTTCCCGGTGCTTGCCTGGGAAGTGGAGGTACCTTACCTTACTTACAGAAAAGATACGTATCTTTTCCGTTCCTGCCCATCTGCATCGGCCACCGTTAGTGAGCTGCACCTACCGTTGCTCGTTCTCCACTCTGCGCGTGTAAACCTGGAAAGTGAAAGTGAACGGCAGGCACGCAGACCGCAGACCGCAGACCGCAGACCACAGGCGCGACTCCATTCTTGCCATATTGCAGCCCGAGGTTGACCGGTCAGTAAGGATGCAGATGCCAAGTGAGGTAAGATGCAGCAGCCATGAAAGTATCTCTGCTAATCTCCTAGCTGGTTAGGTACATACGATAGCTAGAGCTAAGAGCGACTTTGTTTGCGCGCTGTTGGGGATAGCGATATGTGTTTCGTCGTCGGCGCTGATGTCTGTCCGTGGCATGGTTTGCGGCGTGGGTGATGCCTGCCATTCCCCCGTCTCCGATCATGACCCTGGTTGCGCTGGGCGGGCAGGGCGTTAAGAGCAGCCCGGGCAAGGCTCCAGGGCGTTGAGTTAGGAGAGCAGGCAATGCTGGGCTGGACTTTCGATGTTGACTGATGGTGGTGATGTTGATGATGATGACTTCAACCATGACTGTGACTGCGACTGCAGGTGCGATTGCGACGACGATGACTAGAACGGATAGCTACCCATGTCAGTTGGTCTTGTGGTCTTGTAAGTATCGACTTGTACGTTTGTTATGTTGTATTTACTCCGTATACTGAGGAGTAGGTGAAGGTGAGGTCCCGTCGTTGTCACGAAGGAGTGAACGTCAGACCGGGCCCGATCGGTGTTAGCGGCTACTGGCAATAATTCCGCCAAACCAGCGGGGGGTGGAAATGGAAGCCGCCTCCAGCATCGTCGACCTGGGCTTGCATCACCTGCACCTGCACCTGCACTTGCACACTGTCCGCCGTCCTTCACCCCTGTCTCCTGTCTTGTGGTGTCCTGTCCTGTCCTGTAGTGTCGATGCCTTCCTGAGGTGCCATCGTCGTCCGTGTGGTGTCTGTGCCCGTGCCCAGATGGATAGACCCATATTTCAACTCGTCTTCCATCTTTTTGCGCCGGCTGCATATATTACGGCTTATTATTAACCGGGAATCCAGCCGAAGTCCTGTCTCCTGCTTCTCGCTGTGCCTGTGCCGTATGGTATGGAACCCGGAAACCTTCCATGCCTTCTGCGAGTGATGACTCCTGCTAGCGTTTAGATTACCAGCAGGTGGTCGCAGCCCGCTTCTGACATACGCAGTAAGGTGTCCGAACATAGGTAGCGAGGAATATCAACAGCCACCATATAAAATAAAAATACATGCTCCTGGATTTCGATGATGGACAGCACCTTGGATGAAGTGAGTGCCCAAGGTACGTACATAGGGAAATGTCATGACCAGGTACGTACCTACCTTGGGTGCTCGTAACCGTGTGACAGGATACCCCAGCATTCTTTTCTGTCCGTCTTCCCCACTTCCCTGTCATCTTTCATGAGGATACAAGATACAAGACTCAAGAGGGGGAAAAAAGTCATTTTCCCATCGAATTATTTTTTATTTAATCCTTATGTTTTTGGTTTTCGACTAATCGACTTATCCTATCTTGTCCTTTTTTGACTGATTTCTGCCGAATTCCGCGTACCCTCCGTCTCCGGCCTGTACATACGAATATTCATAAAAAAAAAAGGGCAGCCTGCTCGCCACACTCAAGGAACATCTGTCCGCCGCCGCCGCCGCCGCCGCCATCATCACCTTTTGGGTCTTTTGCGATTTTTTTTTCTCTTCTATTTGGATTCGTCTGGTCCTTGTCCCTGTCGCCGTCATACAGTCACACTTCCTACCAGTCCCAGACTTTCCCAGTCCCAGTCCCAGTCCCAGTCCCAGTCCCAGTCCCGGTCACCAATTCCAATCCCAGCCCAAGCAGACCCTGTCCCAGTCCACCTGGTCCAGTCCAGTCCGGCCCCATCCATCCATCATCTTTCATCCACCCATCCATCCATCCATCCATCCATTCCATTCCACTCCCTCTCTCTCCCAGCTCTTTTCCTTCCCCTCCCCTCCCTCCCTCCCCCTCAGCATCTGCGTCGCTCTGCGCCGGGACATCTGCACCTGCCTGCAACTGCAACTGCAACTGCACCTCCTCTGCGCATGCTCCAGCCCGGTCAAGTACCTAGCCTGCCCAGCCCGGCCTAGCGTCTCTAGCTCCAGCATCAGCATCGGCCAGCTCCAGCCCTTCACCAAAAAACTCGCATCGAACCTGCTGATGTGACCCTGTTTGCTGCGCGCTATCCGACGCCTGCATTTCCCAATCGCAAGCAACGGAACCTGGAATCTCGACTATCGCGGGGTCCAGCATCGTTCAGGTCTCGCCCAACTTCAGTAATCAGAGATCTATCTGTACTCCAACACACAACGACGACACTGTTTGCCGCATATCGCACGTCTTTGAGCTATCGGGTACTGCTACTGCTGCGGACACTGAAAGAGATACGCGTCTTCGGAAAAATCGGAAAACCCTGCTTGCTTCCATCTCAGGTTTCTTCTACCTTGCACCAACTGATCCACGGCCTTGGATACCTGAGCACTTAGGTACTCACTTGACACTCCCGTATTCCATCGCGTCGCATCGCTTCGCCTCGCGACAACCTTCTTAGCTCCAACAACCATCTGCCACCAACGGAGATATTCATCGTCTTCACCACATCGTCATCGCCCTCGACCGTATCATTTCGCTCACAGGTTTCGCGAGATACCCATCGACTTCAAACTCCAACATTTCATTTGCTGAGTCGCATTTCTTCGCACACACCCTCCGCTCAACTCACTCTCGCGCAAACCCTTCTTTGGGCAAGACATCCAGAGAGGCATACAACTGCACGTTGACAAGCGCAAGCATCCGACCCCGCTGCTCCGTTCTGCCTGCCTGCCCGCCTTACGAATACCGTCCCTGGCGTCTCTGGCCCAAGGTACTTAGGACTTACGGACTCCACCCGTCGACACAAGGACATTGGTACTTGTCTACGGTACTTCAAGCACCACCTCCAGCCAGATACCAGAGGAGGCACACCTCATCGACCTTACCCTACAGGCTACCAAGCCGACCTTGCCTTACCGTCCTCAGTCGCCCACTTGTCTCCGTCCATCCATCATCTACCTTATCCTTACCACGCAGCATCTTTGCGAACGCCAGCCAACCATCCGTCATCTTCCCTCCTTCACCACCACGCGCGCGCGCATCTCCACCACCAACGACGACCTCTCCATTCTTCAACCACACTTTTCTCGCGCCTTCGCCAACTGGAGGGGCATTCCTCAAGTCTTACTCTTCTTCCTGTGTCCGTTACTCCTCCTCATCGTCGACGACGTCGTCGTCGTCTCTGGTTTATTCATCGCCACGCGACGAACACTTTGGAGGGTGGGAAAAAGATAGTCTCGCCACCACATTGATACTTACATAGCAGCCGCACAGAGACGTTTGGCGAAGGAATCTTCCCGCCGCAGAACCCCAGGACCAGGACACAGACCCTACCCATACTTTATTGAGTTCTACGGCTTGGTTGTACCGGCGCTGCAACTCAACTCTTTGCATTTTCATCTAGACTTCAGAGTTTCCTTAACCATACACCCCCGTACCCCCTTCGCTGCCCTGCGGTGAGAAGAGCGAAAAAGACGAAGAGGCACGAAAGCTTCCATTCGACTTCTTCCCAGGTCGCTCCCCCTACCAGTTATTACTCGACATCTCCCGCCAGGGACATTTCAGAGCTCTGCGCCAACCATATGCACGCATAAGCCTGCCCTGCGTCGCCCAGTGCACCACACCCCAGACCCAGCGTCGCTCTCGACCGCGACCTGGCAAAACCCAATCCAACTATATCAAGACACGTCTTCGTGGACCGCTTCTCATCGTCCTCGTTGCTGCTGGGAGACTACGTTTTGCGCGCTCAATGTACTCCACTCAGCCGAACGGAGCTGATAGTGCGACAATCAACCCGGCTGCCCTCAACTCTTCTGGTATGTTGCTTATTTGCTCTTAATGCCCCCCTCCCCATTTTCACCCCCCGCCTTCCGCCCAGCCTCAGCCTGCCTGCCTACGAATACCTGCCTGTCCGCTAGCCGTCATCGCATTCCACTGCGAGGTTTTGTCTGGCGGTATCAGTCAATACCGCCCCAGTCGCTCACGCCTCTCCTTGTCTTGAACCATGGCTGCGCTTGTCTCGATACTGCTGTCTCGCAATGACCATCGTGCTGACGGTTGCGATTATTAATAAGACCTACTAAACGCAAGCTCTCGCGGTATCAAAAGAAGCCGATCCCCCGACAACTACCAGGAGACTGCTCTAGCAGGTAATACTGGTACGTTTTCTCATTTTCATCCTTTTGGACCCGGAGTGCTTGTGCTCTCCATGTCCAGCAAAAGCGCGTGTCACATCTTCCGTCCTTGCCGCAGTGCGCAACGCGATACAAGCTGACACTTGGTGCTTCCTCGGCAGGCGACTCCAACAACCCAAGAAAACGTGGAAAACCTTTGAAGGGAAGAACACCCGGAAGCATCTCCGAGACCGCCGGCCAGGTCCCCGTTCCCAACATGCCTCAAACTATCCCGCCACCGCAAACCCCCCAAAATCAGGCCGCGCCGCTGCCAGGAGGACAGGCCGTCGCGTATGCGCCTACGCAAGCGTCTCCTCCGCCGAAGACCACCCCGACCAAGACCACGCTGAAGGCCCTGCCGACCGTCAGAGACCACACGACCGATCAGCTCAACGCCGCCGGTGATGAATACCTCCCGAGGGAAATCGATGAGTTTGGAGAGAAGAAGGTGATGCCGAACGGCCAGCTCCTGGGTGGCCGCGAGTACAAATGCCGGACGTTTCTGGTTCCCAACCGTGGGGATAAACTCTTCATGCTGGCTACGGAATGCGCGAGGGTTCTGGGATACCGCGACTCTTACCTCCTCTTCAACAAGAACAGATCACTTTTCAAGATTATCGCCAGTCAGCCCGAGAAGGACGACCTCGTCAGCCAAGAGATTCTGCCGTTCTCCTACCGATCACGGCAGATTGCCATCGTGACGGCACGATCCATGTTCCGTCAGTTCGGCAGCCGCGTTATCACAAACGGCCGAAGAGTTCGTGACGACTACTGGGAGACCAAGGCCCGCAAGCAGGGATTTACCGAGGCCGATCTGGCTGGTGAGAAACGCCCTGGGGCGGCCAAGCAAAGAGCAGCCGAAGCCGAAGCGCAGAACCAGGTCATGGGCCTCGGAGGTCCTCATGGAGAAATCGTCTACAGCAACACGCCCAGCCAATTCCCCGGCGCCCCTCAACCTCAAATCGTCCAACCAGGTATGCTTGGAGCGCCAACCGGAACCACGACAAGAATGCCCGTGATAACACTAGGATCAGAGCTCAGTGACAACCGACCCCGTGACTACAGCGGAATCCTCAAAGGCGGCCCTCGCCAGGAGATCACCGGCCCGGCCTACCAGGACCAGACACGCCCCGCCCAGATTGGAGAAGTTCACGCTCAGGCGCACCACGCTGCCGAGTACAACCGTTCGCTTAACCAACAGCGCGACATGCGCGGTGACTATCTTCAAGGCATCTGGAGGAGGCCGCACGAGCAGCCTCAGTCATCGAACCTCACACAGGCCGTTGCCACGAGTGACGCTGCAGTCCCGACGACGCGAGCGACCCAGTCACCGCACACCACAGCGAGCGGCATGCCGCAAACCAGCATCGTGCCAAACCAAAGCCCCCAGATGATGATGACGGCCCCTCCATACTCCCAATCGATCCATGCGCAGAACCCGATCAGTCAGGCTCCGATGAGAGGTATGGCCCAACCATCTTCCCAAAAGAACAACAAGCCAACGACTTTGCCTGCAGCAGGGAGCGCGAGCAGCATGCCGCAAGGCGCCCAGCAGGGCTATCACTACCCTGCATCTGGCCAAATGTGGCCCCAACAGCAACAGCAGCAGCAGCAGCAGCCGCAGCAGCAGACCCCCCAACATAACTACTCGGGGTACACGACGCAGAACCAACAATCGCACCAACAATCGCCAGCACCTCAGCTTCGACACTCCTCGAGCGGTGTACAGCCGGCGATGCAGTTTTCTGGGATGCCTGGTATGGGACAAAGTTACGCTGGACAAGGAATGTACTCCGCGGATCAGACTCCTCGGCAGTACATGCCCCAGCCGAACCAAGGCTCTCCGGCGGTTACACAGGCCTGGTCCAACCAACAGACGCCGGCGCAGTGGTGGACAAACCAGCCTCAATGATCATGAACGGATTCCACGACGTCAAGGGCTTGGTTTGTTCCCGCACTTTGCATTCTCGCAGCGCTTCGCCAGCAATTACAGTTTCATTTCTTCTATATACGCGTCGGCGACTCCCTGGCTTTTGCCGGTTTGGCAGTCTTTCTGCTGCCTTTTAAAGGATACCCAAGCATACAGTTAGGTGGAGGCTATGTGCTTTTGGGCCGCCGGCCTGTCAGTCTTCGTACAGCATTTTGGCCGAGAACGGATGGATAGAGGAGTCGCAGGTGATCCATGAACACATCTCAGGTCCAAGAGGGGGGAATGGTTCATTACTGTATCGCGTTTACTATTTCCATCAGGCTTGGACATTGCAGGGAGGATGCATTGTTTTTCAACGTTGTTTGCGTTTCTACCCTTCTCGTCACCGTCCCAAACACCCCATCAACATGTTTTACATTCAGTCTTCTGTCGTTTGCTGTTTCCCGCCGTTGGCACACGTACACTGTCGACTTCAATTTGATACCATCGTCTTTTTGTCGCCGATTCGCTTCGCGCGCTGTGTTAGTTAGTCTCCCCACGTCCTCTCGAATACGATACCATACGAACACTACGCACACGCGTCCTTCTCTCAGCCGCGTACCAGACTTCGCGGTGGTTGACTCAGCAGCCTTATCGAGCTTTCTCTCCACGAAGTCGAGCTGTCACTACACGTCCGCTCCGTCGGCCGCTCTCACTCAGCGCCAATCCACCCTTGATAGGCGCTTCCGATGCCAACCGCGATACTCATCGACTTCAGCGACTTCGAGGCGACGTCTACATTTCGAGGACAAGAGCTTGCTCCCTGCCGTATGGGGTATCAATTTGGCCCGTGCCAACGACCGGGAACTTCCCCGAATCAGTCAAGGATGTCACGAAAGCGAAGGGACCGTGGGGAGGGGTGCGACAAGTCACGATATGGTTTAAGCCTTGGAAACGTTCCTGGGATACACCCTACCTGACAGGAAGGGAACGGTTTAATCCCCTTCCCATCACTCTACGGACGAGGACCTCTTCCCTATCTGCACACTGGCGGCCAATTCATTTTGGCCTTGTTTTATCTTTGTATCGGCCGACACGGCAGCATCCAACGGGGGTTGCTGTTTATTTGTTGTAGTCGTTGTTCTTACCTCATGTTGACTTGGGAAAGCGCTTTGATGTCGGGCAGGGTATGAATCGTTTGTGTTTCTCTTTGTTTCCTCCCTCAAGTTTCTTTTTTGGTTTTCTTCCTCTCTTGATCATGTTTTGGGGAAACACGGTTTCATGGGAACAATCGGAGGGAAGTTGTTTTTAGGTTGCATTGGGAACCGTGCCACTTGTCGATCGAACACCTTTTTATGTTTCTCGTTTCTACAGCTGGGTGGGCCGTTCATTGCTTTACTTGTTCGTTTCTGTATCTGGGTGCGAAAGACGAGGTAAGAGGGACTCGGACCCTCTCTACCTCCTTCGCCATTATGATGGTTTTAGTCTTGACTTAATGCAAACGAATTGGTTTCTTTACTCCGGTGGCCTTGGGTTTACGTGCAACGGTTTCTTTCCCAAGTTCCATGTTCATAACCGGGAGAAGCCAAACGAAACCAAAAGCTCATTGATTGGTTTTCACCAATTTAGGAAACAAACTACGCATACAAAACTGTACGCGCTACGCAAAACTCTCATGCGTGTTGTAGTGAGAAGGTCAGCCATCCCCCGGGATTAGCATACTCGTTCCGACGTCTTGTAGTTCTGACTCCCTCTCCCCTCGCATGTGCCATCTGGTCGTGATAGTTTATCACATAGTATCTCGTTTCCGTCTTTTCACCCCTGGACGGTGTTGGAATAGAGATAAGAGAGAGGGAATGCTTGTCCTTGTGAGAGTGTTTGCTTTTATGGTTTTCTTCCTTCGTTATCGGGACGAAAAGTCCGTTCGTGGCAGGAATGGCTATGTTAGGCGCCCGGCCCCGTGGGGGTCTGTGTAATAAACGGCCGTCTATGCGTTCTCCATTCCTTCTTCTCGTCTTCTTCTTGGACTTTATTTTTGCCTTTTGGGCCAATCTTTTCTGTTTGCCTTGGTGGGAAGAGGGAGGGAGGGAGGGAGAGAGGGGAGGTAGAAGTGGGAGGGAGGAGAGTCAAAAGAAGGGGCGGAAAACCATGTTAAATTAAGGTATTCAGTTAAGCTTCCCCCGTCACTTTCTGCTTTCCCCCTTCGTCTCCCCGGCCCCCCTCTTCTTCTCCTCGTCCTCCTCCTCTGTCTTCTATCAATATCTGGCCCGAACGTGTTGGGGGGCACACCCTCTTTTCGTCCACGACTGAGGAAATAAGACGGTCCATGGGCGGCGCCTCTTGTCTCGCAAGTGTTCGGGCTCAAAAGTGGTCCAGGTGTCCTCTGCTTTATTAACCCGCGTATTGTTCTACGTACGTGCCCCTTCGAAACACTCGGCCGAAGCATGAAGGCCGAACCGGAAGCGGAGGAGAAAACGAAGGCGAGAGTTGGGCATGTGGGCGATGGATGGAGGGAGCGTGGAGGGAGACTGGGGGGCGCCAATAGGCAACGGAATCGGACGACAATGTACTCGAGGTGTCTTGGCCATCGCTTATGATTCAGACCTGTTCAACTTGTTTTCTTACTCGTCCGTCGGACTGAATCTCCGGGATATCTGTCTGCACGGGCAGAAGATCAAAGCTCGCGAAACCTCGTGAGAATCGGCATGGCCGGCTTTTGACTCCCCCTGGGTCGGCGGCTCGGCGACCCGGGAGGGAACTGTAAAAGAAACGTCAATACCCGTGTGTCATTTTTCCCCTTTCTTCTCTCAGATAGTTGACGAGACGGGACTTGGAGCGTTCCGGCAAACGAGTCCGAGCCGGTGGGAGGAGCTTGGTGTTACTGTTGCTGCTTTTGTCAAGTCCCCATACGTACGCTGGCTGGTTCTTGGGGAGGCTTTAGGGGAAAAGGGCCAAATATCGAGTCAAGGCCTGTTAGGGATGTGGTTTATACAGGAGACGATCATGAGACGGGCGATTCGGTTCTAGATCCGAGGCCGTCCAGACTTCGGATCCGACCGGAAATCATATTCTTGATTTCGTGTTTTCTGCTCCCCCTTTTTCTCTAAGCGAGCTTCTCGATATAGGGCGCGCGCGGAGTCAAAACGTTCACTCCGCTGGGGAAGTTTGCTGTCCACGAGCTTGTTGTCCATTAGTTTGTTGTCCACGAGTCCGTTCGCGCCTTACGGTGTTACCGGTTTCCATATCCAGACAGAGAGCCGTAGGGCGTAGGGACAGTGCCTCGTCTGAAAACTACGCTTAAACAACGGTGGAGGCGGAGGTGGAGGTGGATGTTGTGGTTGTTGAACCCCCAAAATTAGGGGTCAAAATAGGGCGAGACTGGGGGGTCAGACGCGGAGAGAAAGGAAGAGGAGTGATGATGTCGTTCGTGTCTGACATGTAGCCCCTTTTGCCCAAGCAGTGTAATGGTGGTTGGTGTAAAGGGAGTGTGCAATCTTTGCGGCCCTACGGCTGTCGGTTCGGTGGCGTCGGTGGAACAGATGGGGAGAAGCTTAAGCCGCCGTGCTACGTAGTACACTTCGAACAGGCGCTAAAAGTAGATGTTTCCCAACAACGATCGTTTCCGCTTTGCGATACCCGCGTTTGCAATGGATTGAGACGGACTCTCCAACGTTCGGAGGAAACAGGACAGACAAGGTGGGGGGGGAGGCAGGAGGCAGGAGGGGGAACCTAAAAACCGAAATAAACAAGGGAAACAGAGCTGAACTTCCAGTTCGTGTTGGACCATATGATTGTCCAATATTCGGCCAACATTTCCTTTGATGGACTGGTGCATGGAGAAGTCGTGATATCATGGGTAGGCCTTGAGACGTTTCGTCTTTCTAACCGAGATTTTGACTTGATTCTATATAAGTCGACTTGCCGTATTTGAACTGCGTGCGTGCGTGCGTTCGTTCATTCAGTTTGGTGATGGCACGAGCTGGTGGGTAGCGAAAGGATATCGCATTGCAAAAGCATGGCACGGCAGAGTTGCGTGAACGGCACACGGAGAAGTTTGCTGTAAACCGGCGTCTGATTTTCGGTATGTATGGGCTCTTTTGGCAACGAACTAATACAGGACTGGCATGGGAGTGCCGTCGTGTCATTCGGTCTTTGGTCGTGATATCCGAGGAGATGGAGATGGGACATGTGGTGATGGTGATGCGGCAGGCAGACTGAGGGTGGAGGGGCGTGTGAGGAAACGCGTGACGTGGTTGATGAGATCGCCTGGTGAATGTTTATTCAGCCAAACTTCGTCCCAGGCGTTCGGTATCGCTTTTCTCTGCTCGGTTGGTGGCTAGGCCCAGACGAACAGACGCAGATGGGAAGCGAGACCGAAGACACTCATGGGGAATTCATGTGCAGCTTGAATACGAACTCGATCTCCCTACCAGAGGTTATTTTTCTAGGACATTGTTGATGTCCGGTACAAGGCTGCTCGCTCTCCTATCACGGACACAATTGACATCATCGCCGTGACCGGAGGAACCGGAGAGACCCTTTTTCCTTTTCCTACAACATCAAACATGGATTATTCCATTACGTCTGAATGAGACTTTCCCATCACGAGCGCGATTTACATCAACTACCGAGGCCGGATAGCTCCTTATTCCAAATCATAGAACATCGACTGTTACGCATAGGTGGTGCTGCCCTATCATTAGCACTACCAATCTATCGTGAGCACCATTAGCATCAACTGCCGTGACCAAAGAGCCCCTTTTTTTAAAACATCGAATATCGACTATTATGTATGGGCGCTGCTTTCTATCATGTACAAACTCGACGTCGTGACGCCTTCATACGCTCGTCCCCCGATCACGAACACGGAAGCTGTTTTATGATGACGACTCGACACCAACTCACAAAGGCCGCTCGGTTTGGACGCCGCTCTATTGGTGGCATGCGGAGACACTAGTCACTCTCATCTCCGTCGAGAGCCTCATCGACTTCGTCATCGTCGTCTCCCTCCTTTTCCTCGAGCGCGTCCTGCGTCTCATCGCCGCTCTTCTCGCCGCTCTCCTCGTCTTCCTCGTCGTCTTCTTCTTCCTCCTCGCCTTCATCCTCTTCTTCTCCATCCTCATTGGCCTCCTCTTCGGGCTCCGTCTCAGCATCATCAGCCTCCTCATCGACGGCCATAGCGGAGTCGTCCATGCGGGCCTTCTTGGTGCGGGGTGCGTCGCCATCGGCGGACGAAGTCGTGGTGAGGATGCTGTCGTCGGCAGAGGCTGCCGCTGCTCCGGCGACAGCTCCGGCGACAGCTCCGGCGGCGACGCCTGCTGCGGCCCCCGTTGCTGCGCCGCCCTTCTTCGCGGCCACCTTTTGGCGGTAGGATGAGCGTTTTGCGGATTGGATTTGGTTGAACTCTGGGGTCATATGTCAGTGATGTAGCCTTGGAGGTGGAATGAAGGCTTTATGGGAATGCAGTTGAGAATGGCGCAAGAGTAATGCGTTGCTGTGAAGGGCATATATTTGCTGAGTATCACAAGAAGGGCTGGACTGACTGGCAAATTCCTGCTGCAGTGGCTCTTTCAGGAAGCCAAATTCAATATCATCAAGGGCCTTGAAGACATCCTCAGCGCTGACAGTCTTCTTGTTGGCCAGCATGGTGTTTTCGTTAGCACTGTAGAAGTCAGCCTTTATACCTCATACCCTTTCACAGACTCTTAGGCTTTGGTGCAAAAGAGGATTTCTTCCAAATGTCTAGCGAGGAAGCAGGAGGACGCACTGTGATGCAAGGTAGTTAATAAAGACCGTAGCACTCTTGCTCATTGCCAGGACAGCATTGCCTTGGATCTGCGCGTTAGGGGCAAGCACGCCCTTGGCCAGCCTCGTGATGATGGACTTGGGTAGGTTGAGGTCCTACCGGCCGACCGACGTTTAGCCTGGTTCACCTCATCAGGGGTATGGGCAGGAAGACTTACTTCAATGGTGAGGATATCCTTTTCGACCTTCTCCTTGTGAACCTTCTCGGCCTTCTCCGTCGTGGTCAGCGGTGTTGATGACGAAGCCTTGCCGGTTTCGGGCGTCGGCTCCGCAGCCGCAGCCGCGCTGGAGGGCATGGCGGAGACGGTATCGGCGGCGGCGGCGGCGGCAGGAGTCGCGGGCGTCGGTCCCGAGGTCGTCGGGGTGGAGGCCGGTTCCTCGTCCATTACGGCGAATCGGGCGGTAGAGACGTTGCTCTTGCGGCTGGCGTCGCTTTTGCGCGGAGGCATCTTGTGTCAGTCTGTGTGTTGTGTGTGTGTGGGTGGGTTGAGTTTCTGCTCTGGGTGATGTTGTACGGTGGATGAATATGTTCCCTGATTTTTTCTTCTTTGCTTTTTTCGTGGTTGAGATTGAACCAGGAAAGGTAACGTGGGAAGCCCAAAGCGGTCTGGGCTGTCGTTGATTGAGTTTCTGGGGCGTCGATTGAATGCGGGGAGGTTTGTTCCTGCGCCTTGTGAGAGGTAGTCGAGCTGAGGCGGTATGGCGTAGGCGTAGGTGAGACGTTGAAGATTTTCTCCCTCTCTCTCTCACACACACACACACACGCACCACCGCACACACTGCCACTCCTCAGGGGAGAGAAGAAGGGTGTCCCAGCGGGATGGGCCGTCGTTGTCGTGAGTGAGCTAGTCGGGGTCTTGGAGGTGGGTATGTGAGTTTACGGGAACGAGGACGTCCAAAAATGAAGCATGTATATCGCTTCCGTGATCGACCTAGCGCGTTGAAGAGTGAGATGTCACTCAGAGATGAGCGGAATGAGGCTCTTGTTCGTGAGACTAAGAGGACGTGGAGCGTGGCGGTGGAGACTGAGGTAAGAAGGATTGAGAGAGAGAGGTCACTGCGCTTGCACTGCTGTCGTTTGGACCTGGCCAACGACAGCGCGTCGTGTGCGCTGAGGACGCGACTTTTTGGAGTTGGTGCCCCACTATCGGACAGGAAAACGCGTAAAGTGCCTCTTGCGGTCTTATTACTCATCTCATCTGCTTGATGCAATGTCAAGTCAACCATGACTTTCTCAACTTCGAATTTCATTCGGTATCCGGATTTCCCTTTTCCTTCTATCAATAGCCGATACAGTTCGCCTCGTAAGGCAAGATCGATTTCATTGAACTTGCGAACCACCCAATCAACACAGAGACTTCGGAGATAACATAACGTCTCATCAGCTCACTCACTCACTGACGCTCATCTCATCTTTGCCTCATCCCTCCGTCGCACTTAACGACAACGAGATACCATCCAACGCCATCTCACCGCGAACAACGGCGAAATACAGCCGCCGCGGGCCCCGAGGGAGCAATCTCTCCTTTCGCCCCTCATCTACATCTGCACATCACGCTCCGCGGCCCTCGCATCTCGCATCTCGCAAGCCATGACTCGTCACCTTCTCCCCGACGAACCAACCTGAAGCCGCTCGTTGGCCTTGCACCCCGCCGTCGTCGCAAAACAACAGATGCAAACAAGTCGCGGGCTCGCATGTGAGGAGGCAACGTCAAAATAGATCCTGTCAAGAGACCATGCCAAGAAACAAGAATAACTGTCAGGTGAAGCCAAAACGGCTAGTCCAAACCTGCCAAAAAAGCAAGCTCAACCTCGGAGGCACCTGTCGACGAGAGACGACGACGATGTGACCGATCTGGACCTGCGTTGAACCAACTTGATCGACTGACTTTCCCTGACAATCTTGGCTCGACAACCACCCCCCTCCTCCCCCACCCCTTGAACTAGAGCAAACGATCTGCCGCCGTCTCACTCATCCCGCTCACGGAGCTTGGCGAACTTACTCCGGAGAGATTGTGATGACAGAAACTGAACCCTTGTCTACCCCGCCCGTCATTCGTCGCGCTTCTGACCTGTCATTCGCGCACCCATCCGACGGCGAAGCGCGGTGTTTCACATCTCACCCGTCATCGCATCCATCACGCTGGGATGGCATCTGTCGTAGGCGTGGCTAGCCGCCCCTCTCCCCTCATGGGACCAACACCAAAAGAGCAAGCCGCCTCCAGAAACCTTGGTCGCGATCGAAAATTGCCTTCCTGGCGAACGCTGGGCAGTGTCCGACAAGCCAATATCGTGCTCCACCCCCTCCTCCAACGTTTGTTTCACTAACGATGCTGGAGCGGCCGGTGTCAGCACAGAGGCTGACGTACCAAAGTCGTGTGCTGACTTGGGACGACAGGTAATCATCGTCTCGCACCTACGCAAGAGGTGCCTAATATGGCGAGCCTATGACATGCATGTTGTGGTCGCCGGGAGAGCTGTTGTTGGATCTTCCATGCTTGCTAGAACTCAAAAGCGACGTTCGTCAATGTCGGCCGAAGCTATCCTCATCGCCGAGGTCACAAACATCTCGAGGCCGCTGACACATGATTGAACAAGATTGATTGTATTGGTGTATTCTGTGATATGGGGCTCATCCAACCTGTATGCCCAAGGTGTATCCAAGAATATGCTGACAATAAAAAAAGAAAGCTGGGCTGCGTTGCAGCTGTGGTAAGTCCATTCATCATAGGGGTATATCCGTCTCCAACCCAACATGTGGTGTTCCGAAGACCGTGTTTCCATAAGACAGTAAGGAAATAAGATGTCTATCTGAGACATCAAGATACTTCAACACCATGGAGTCTATCCATGGCGGAATAATGTATGCTCGTTCAGTAAAGAGGAACATATGCAAGAGGAGTTGTGTGTGTGTTGTGTGTGTGTTGTGTGTGTGGGTGTTCCGCGCACTCGCCGAGTCTTCCGGTTACGCTATGCCATAGGCTGTAGCAAGACACCTAGACTCGGTAGTGTCGACGGTGACAAATGGTTCTCTCTGATTTCCGCTCTGAGTGGAGGCGATCGCTGTTCACATCTTCACACCAGTCGCGGTTGGTTGGTGGTGTTAAGACACATGGGAAGTGTGATAAGCTCCCATCCATCGGTTTGTGAAACAGATGTCCACAAGACAAGATAGCACCCCGCACTTTCCAGACCCGCGGGAGAAGCGCAAGGGCTGAAACGAATGTGGTTGTTTTTGCGTGTGACGCAAGCTGTCATCCGCGGGGGCGTGCGATGTCGTCTGCAGGGGTTCGTAAAAAGTAGGTGGTAAAACACGGCGCAGCGCCAGGGGTGGAAACCCTTGGCGAAGGCAGAAATGCAAATCGGAGCCTCAGCCAACAGCAAGGCCAATCTCAGATTGCCGGACGTAGGGCCGGGGAGAGAGACCACCCATGCGGTACTCCTCGTCGAGTGAGAGCCGCGGGGGATTCGATGAGTCCGAGTAAATCCGTTGGTGCCTGCCGTCCGAGTGGGCAGACGAGGGCATGTGTGCGTAAGGATCGGTAGACGTACGGGGAGAAAGCTCGACGTCGGTCTGGTAGCCGAACCAGTGATCTCGCAAACTGCCAACGCTGGCGCTGCTTCGAGAGCTGCGGTGTCTGCCATGGCGAGGAGACATCGGCGGCAGCTTCGATAGCCTCGAGTTTTGCCGCTTTGGTGAGGGAAGGAAAGCAAGGTCTCCTTCTATCGTGTCGTCGGTGAGGCCGAGGCGGGCATTGGGCGCCCGAGCAAGGACGGGGGTATTCGGCACCTCAAGACTCTTCTTATCCATGCTGCGCTTGTGGTACAGTGAACGCGGTGATACGTCAGATGATGTGCGAGACTGGTACGAGTTGTGGTTCTGATAGACGATCACGCTGGGTGGCTTGCGAACTGCGGGAGCAGATTCATGCTTGTCGACCACAATGGTAGTTGACTTCTCGATCGTCCGGTTGGCCTTCCAAGACTCAATTTCCTCATCATCGATAGGAGTGATACCGCGTTGACTGAATGGCCCACGGCGGCTCCAGCGATTTGCCAACGGCAGACGGCCATACCGATAGCGGTAGCAGAGACAGATGGTCAAGACGATGAGCGCCACGCCGAGAACAGAGAGGACAGTGCTGAGGGCGATGACCAGGCTCCGATCGCCCTCGAAGCCCTGTGAATTGTTGCCAGTCATGACGGGTTGTGGGACCGGAAGAGTCGTCGAGCTCGGTGCAGCTGGCGCTGGAGAGATTGGTGGTCGACCGCCAGCATCAGTTGTCTGGACCGGGGGCGGCGTCTGGATGGGAGGACTCGAAGTAGAAGCAGGAGGAGAAGACGGCGGCGGCGGCACGATAGGAACAGCAACCGAAGCTGACGAGGTCGGGGCGGATGAGCTCTGCGGAGAAGGTCTTGGAGGCGGTAGACTAGGCTGAGGTTTCGGTTGTGGTTGAGGAAAACTCGGTACAGAGAAGACGGGTGCTGAGCTTGGGCGAGGAGCAAGAGATTTGGGCGGAGGTAGTGTCGCACGTGGGAGACTTGGAGTTGAAATAGATGAAACGAAGGAAGCCACCGGTCTTGAAGTAGAAAGTATGGGAACAAAGAGAGACGTTGTCGAAGACGGTCTGATCTCGACAGAAGTTGTAGTAGGGGGTGCCGGGGGAGTGGTTTCCGGAGGAGGAGGAGGTGGTGGTGGTGTTGGAGGAGGAGGCGGCGGTGTTGGAGGCGGCGGCGGCGGTGGTGGGAACTCCTCAGGCGGGGGAGGCGGAGGGGGAGGCTCCTGATGAGGAGGTTCCTCTGGCGGTGGAGGTGGAGGTGGTTCCTCAGCTGCCACGCCTTGGAGAAAGTTAGCATGTAAGTTCAAAACAAGTAGATGAGATGAGATTAAGACGGAATGAAATGTCCAGAACGGCCCGATATTGCGAGTGAGATGATGTGAGATGGTCGATGAAGGTATTCAGAGACTGCTTGATGAAGTGACGGCGATTTCAAACAGGTGATAGGGCCGTTCATGTGAGTGCTCTGTGCTGGGTGCTTTTTCCAGATCACACCTTCTGTTCGCCCTGGTCCGCCCTTTGCTGTTTCCATGCCGATGCTGTTGACTCCGTCGATTGGTGCGCCGACTCTTCCGGGTTCGGCGGGTGGAGGCTCAACGAAGTCGGGGTTGAACGAGGGACCTTGATCTCTGTTCTTACCCTTGCCTTTCCCTTTGCCCTTGCCTTTGCCAAAGTGCCCATCCTCGCCGTCATCGGTACTGTCGATACCGTCGATTCCGTTTTCTTCGCCCAGTGCCACGACTTCGGTGTAAGTCGACCAGGTCGAGAGCCAGGCCGCGGCCATGAGTGCCTTCTTATTCGACATTGTCCGATATTACGATTCGATCCTCCTTGAATGGGCCAGCCCGGTAGTGGTAGAATGTCTGGTTTCTGGATAATACTGCACACAA